AATGTGGAAGTTTCTTTAGAATTAGGTCACACGGAGAGACTGTAAGAGTTTTGAGTTACAGAAAAGAAAATGTTTAGCTTTTCCTAGAGATTGTTGGTAGAAAATTAGATGTCAAAGGAGTCTGTTGCGGGAGGATTCAGAAAGAGGAGAGGTATAGAGAAAGTTTCTGTCATCTTAGATAATACACATTGTCAGGAAGAGAATTGTTGCAAAAATGTAAAGATGCTTCTGGTGATGTCAGGCCAAAGTGAGGAGCATGTTATTAGAAACTGGAGAAAAGATCATCAAATCAGTGCTATTAAGTGGCAGAAAATTTAGCTGAATTGTGTTCTATTGAGTGCATTGAACTTGGGTATTCAGCTGAAAATATCTGTAAGCAAATTATTGGAGGTGCAGCCTGGTTTCTTCTCCTTGACTACTATAAGTCCTGTGAAAGAGATTAAGAAGGAATTCTGCCTCAGCATCACAAAATAGACATCCTGCCTGAATTTCCCTGCAGATTTTGGATTTAAGATACAACATCAACTCTTATCTGAATTTTCAGCCTATCAGCCTGGGCTATAAACCTTGTATTTGCTGGCTCTAACACTGTGTGAGCCACTTACTTAAAATTTTCATTTTCAATATCTGTCTATATGGATACATATATGTGTGTGTATCTATATCTTATATAAGAGTCCTGAATGTATGAGAACCCAGTGTAATCAAGAAATATAATACATTTACGCTTCTGCTTTAGGAACTTTACTCTAGCAATGGTGTATAAAATGGCTTGAATAATAAAGTGGCTGTTGATTATATTTCTCTGGAGAACCCAAGTATAGATGCTTAGAGGAAATTTTTGAAAAATGTAAATGTATACCCATATAATCTATTATGTTCCCTTGAGGCCTGTTACTTCCATTTCACAAAAGGATACTATGGAGTATGTTGACTTTCTCTCCTATCAAAAATTTAATTTTCTATGCTCTGACTTCAAAAAGTCACCCAACATCACAGTTTTTGTTATCTTTTTACAGATGGCTTCCCAAACTGTAGCCCTGCACTTTTCCCCTTACTGGATATTAATGTGAATATTTAAATTTTACATTCTGTTAAATAGCAATGCTATTATCCAATCTATCAATGCTAAAAGAAAAATTCAGTTTTCCTGGACTCCTCCCTCTTTCCATATCAAATTAACCTTGTTATTTGTCTTCAAAATGTCTATTAATTTCCACTTCTCATTTTTTAAGTCATTGATTTATCCAGAACTTTGCTGTGTCTCACCTAGATTATTAAAATAGAAAATCCTTTTTTTCTCTTTTTCATCACTTCATTTTCTTATTAAATAAATTTTATACAATGTCAAAGAAAGCTTCCCCAAATGGCTTCTGCACAGGATGATGTTGTAATTCTAAGGTTCTTCATAGAATGACTCTGTTTTCCATATAAAATTCAAGTTATTTTCTCCTCCTCTTCACCAAATACTTTCTATTTGTGATATAAAACAGTTGGAAAAATCCCAATATATTTTCAAAATTAAAAAAAAGAAAAACCTAAAAGAAAACAATAGAAAATTTAAAAACCAGCTTTAAAAAAAATGAATTCTAAGTTGTAATTTACACTGTAGACACATGATGGCACCATTTTATGTGTGTAATAGAAGCACCAGCGATCCTTTAACACTGCACGGATATGCCTTGAGATTGTTACATGCTTTTAACAACTATAGTGATGTTATTGTAAAAACTCAATGGTATTGCTAGAGCTAGAGATGCTCCACAATACCAATAATCTTGAAACAGAAATTAGTAGTCATAAAATTGTCATTTATATGTTTTAATTTATCATTCCCTTTGTTATGGGCTAAATTGTGTTTCCAGTACTAAGGTGCATATGTTGAAGCCTGAGCCTGTAGTACCTCAGAATATGACTGTTTGACGATGGCGGTCTTTGAAGAGGTAATTAAGTTAAAATGTGGGCATTGACATTGGCCCTAATCAAATATGACTGGTGTCCTCATGAGAAGAGGAAGTTAGGGCACAGAAACATATAGAGGGAAGACCATGTGAGGACACAGCATAAAAGTGGAGAGCTACAAGCCAAGAAAAGAGGTTTCAGAAGACACCAACTGTGCAGACACCTTCACCTTGTATTTCCAGCCTCTGGAACCATGAGAAAATATACTTGTTATTTGAGCCACTCAGTTTGTGGTATTTTGTTATGACAGTCCCAGCAAAAACATCATTATTGTATAAAAACATAAATAAAAAAAAGTTTTGCATTGATTATATAAGAATGGAATCTCTCCCTAATATACATCGGTTCTTTGGGTGAAATGGGCCATGATTTATGATTTTTAAAATTAAATGAAGCCAGCATGATGGCACATGCCTATAATTCCAGAGGCTTGGGAGGCTAAGGCAGGGGGATCATGAATTCAAAGCCTCACCAAAAGCGAGGCACTAAACAACTCAGTGAAATCCTGTCTCTAAATTAAATACAAAAGATAGGGCTAGAAATATGGCACAGTGGTTGAGAGCCCTTTAGTTCAACCCACAGTATTAAAAAAAATAAAAATTAAATGAGTTCTTCAGAAATCCTTGCCTCAAAATATCACAGGCCTCAATTTTGACCATGATTCTCTGTCAACTCTTAGTCAATGTCTTATGATTGTACCCATTTGTTTCCTTGCTCAACAGAATGGAAACTAATGGAATGGTCTAGGATGTAGGTTCTAGAGCCAAACTGCTTGGGTTCATAGTCCTGCTTTATCACTGTGTGATTATCCAGTTATTTAAAATGCCTGGGCCACATTTTTCTTAGCTATCTGTGCAACGGAAATAATAAGATGCCTACACTAGAGGGCTCTGTAAGCCCTCTAAAATAGGGCTAGGAATAGAGAAAATGTGATGATGCTCTTGTCAATCCCTCTACACTATTAGGCTCCAGTTATTTTCCTGGGGATGGGCAACTACTTATCTTTCAATGCACAGAAGATTCTCAGAAAAATAAACGTGCGCTGCTAAAAATATTTCAGAGAGATGAGCCTTGATTTCTAACAATCTGGATTCAAATGTAGATTTTCCCATTTACCTATTGTATCAGTCCATTTTGTGTTGCAATAATGAATTACCTAAGGCTGAGTACTTTCTAAGTAAAAGAGGTTTACTTAACTCACAGTTCTTGAGGTATAAGAGGAGGTGCTGACAAGGGCTTTTAGTCAGACCTTTGTGGCTAACATCACACTGCAGGAGTGCATTTAAGAAAGGTCATGTGTGAGTAAGCAGGAAACAGATTTGCTCTTTTACAATAAACTGTACTCATGGCAACTAATCCATTCTTGGGATAACTACATTAATCCATTCTGAAGGTGATGCCCCATGGTCTAATCAACTCTTATTAAAGATCCCACCATTTCAATACTGTTATATTACAAACAAAGCTTCTGGGATATGAATCTTTAGAGGACACATTAAACCATATCAAAACCACAGCACCCATTATACATTTTCAAACAATTTGCTAAATTTCTCTGAGTTTCCTCAACCAGTACATTATTTGACACGGTGGTGCTCAGTATTTTTCTAATGAATCTATTTTTCAGTTGTAGGCTGGACATGTTAGCTTTGTAAGATACTGCAGTGCTAAAAGTGTGAGACTAATACTTATGGAAATACCAAGTAAATGTAGGTGAGAAACAGATGTGGAATTAAAGACACTGAATCAGCCAGGCACTCCGGTTTAGGGGGCCCAGGCAGGAGGATCAGGAGTTAAAAGTCAGCCTCAGCAAAAGAGAGGCTTTAAGCAATTCAGTGAGATCTTGTCTCTATAAACAAAATACAAAATAGGACTGGGAATGTATCTCATAGGTCAAGTTCCAGTAGTACTACCCCCCAACCCCCGCAGCAAAAAAGACACTTGGATCATACAGAGGAAGAAAAAATGAGATTCAACTCAGGGTATGATCCTTTTGATTAAAACGGGGCAAGTGGCAAGCATTAGGTTAGATTTTTAAAATATTACCACCAGTTAACAAACCCAGATGGGTTTTCCATGGACCTCCCTCACACTCTTTTATTACTTTCCACTCCACTGACTCTGCTCAAGTCCAGTTGTACCTCAGATTCCTTTAAAATGTACAGTCATCTCTGTCCAGAGTGCATTTTGTTCACTCTGGACTGTGTTTCCCATTGCAGTAGTATGTTACTATTTAAAACCTGTGCTTATCACATTAACTGGTGTTAAGCTTCGTTTTTGACAGGATAATATTCAAATCATTAAAGTCAGGGCAACATTGACAAAGTATTATGCTCAATGCATTTCAAGATAGTTATTTCTATCAACAGAATTAGTCCTGTGTCCAGAACCACTCTCTCTTTTTTTTTAAGTAAAGGATGGACACAATATCTTTATTTTGCTTATTTGTTTTTACATGGTGCTGAGAATTTAACCCAGTGCCTCACATGTGCAAGGCAAGCGCTCTGCCACTGAGCCACAACTCCAGCCCAAGAACCACTTTTAACTCAATAGTTTCGTGAGCAAACAGGCTGTAAGAACATTTTGATCCTAAAAGCCTTAATTTCCCCCAAATTAAGGGGGGGAAAGTTTTGTAAACAATATTGAAGATTTCAATAACAATGGTGAGTTTCCAAGTGAATGGTGAATCACAATGGTGAACACACCTGTTGTCTTTCTTATTTGCACCAAACTCTGGATACTTACAGAAAAACCCAAGAGAAATACTGGGAGACAGTCATGATACCCTGCAGGTCTCATCAGCTCTTTGTCCCCCATTCTGCCTTCTCCAAAGCCCTGTGCTCCATGTAAGGTAAACAACTGATGAAGCGGCAACTTGAAGATAATGGAGACAGTGGGATCTTTCTCCACTTTCACTGCTTGCCAAAACTTTCCTAGATTCACCATTGCAATCAGCCTGTTTCCTCTCAGAATATTAGTGCAATAAATGACTACTCAGGAAATACAGTTCGACTTCCAGATTTTAAAATTCCCATTACCATTCTGCCATTAGGTAGGAAGCAAGTTCCGCAAATTAGCATCTTTAGGTTCCACGACCTAAACCTGGGGTCCTCAACGACACCTAGGGAGGGCTGAAGAGACCCGCACATCAGGCTCGGGACTCGGGCTCCTGGTGCCTCAGCAGCTCCACCACTCCCCACCAGCGAGCTCTAGAGTGATCGTCCATCTGGAATTCCCGAGGTGGCTCGGGGACCTAAAAGGTCAGACTCCACGGGGGCCGGGGGCCGGGGGCCGTCGTGGGGAAGAAGAGAGACAACCGGCACTGGGCTTACTGCACACCGAAAGGCAACGTCTACTACAGTGCCCTGGCGCCCCAGTACTCAAAAAGAGGATTGGCTTTCACTCACGTGACCTCTTCCCTTCTCAGCGCAGAGACGCACTGACGTCAGGACGTCGCGGGGCGTGCGGGCGTGGACTAGAGGTGCTGTGTTCGCGCACCCGCAGGAGCGATGGGCACTTGGTGTGTACGATAGTGCAGTGCTTCCTTGTGTGTCGGCAGCCGGGGTCCTGGCCTGGCCACCCGCTCTAGAGGCGGCGATTTGGAATAAACGAAGCCTCTAGCTATGGCGCCGTCTCCTCCCAGGGCCCTCTCTTGAGGCCTTCTCCTAGGGCATGTGGGCCCTAGCCGGCCGGGGCTGGTGGCGGGGACTGGTGCTTAAACCGCGGGCCACTGGGGCCGCGCGACCCGGGCTGTCCAGGGACCCGTCAGCCCCGACTGTTAGGGCTGCCACGAATTCCTGGACCACAGACAGGCTCTACAGCTCCGCAGAGCTCAAGGTGACCGCCTCTAAGTCTCCGGTGAGACCTTTTAAAATGTTGGAGAGTGCCCCCCCCCCAGCCCCCACATGTGATCTTGGAAACGTACTGGGATTCCTGCAACTGGCTGTGAGCCCATATTCCTATTCCTGCAAGGGAGGCGGAGAGCGTGGAGCGCCTGCAGGCTGCACGCCTTTCCACTGCTGCCAGTGTGACCTTGAGCCAGTCATTTAGCTTTCTCAGTTTAATTCTAAAATCCTCCCAAGGAACCTGCTAATTTTTTTTTTTTTTTTTTTTTTTGCATTTGAGACATTTGGCTCTGCTTCAATTAAAGGTCCAGTGGCTATTTGCGGGGGTTGTGTGATGCAGTACAAAGAGCTGAAATGCAAGACGAAGAGAAGTATTGGCTATGTCTTAGCTTCCTTTTATTATTCCATTTTATTTCAGCCAAACAACCTGCAGTTTTGACTATTGTGGTTGGAGAACGTGGGATTTCAGTAACTGTAGTAACTGCACTATATGATAGCTGTGAAAAGATTAGGCAGAAAAGTGAAAGATTGAATGCAAGTTATGAATTAGTAGAAAGTAAGGTCTGTGTGATTAGTCAACTTTGGCCTATTCTAAAATCCCTGTGGTGTGTGTGTGTGTGTGTGTGTGTATTACAATTAAAAGTTCTTAAAAATAGTGCAGTACCTTTGACTCAAATGAGGGAAACATCTACTGTGGAAATATCAGATTTAGTTTTATATTTTTACGCAATTAAGTATAGTTGTACTTTTGTCTCCTTTGGATTGCGGCAGTTATAAATACAAAAAATTAAGGTGAATTTTATAATTTCGTGCTGTTTATTGATTATGAAATATTGACTGGAAAAATAGAGTGAACAAAATGAATATTTTACTTGAATGCCAGTTTTTAGCAGTTTCTGATGTGCTGAAGTAAAACGTTCAAAATGTGTGTATTAGAAAGCAGGAGTTTAATTTTTAAACATTTAAAAATGTAATGATAAGCCCTGGTTTTTGTTCTCGCAATTTAAAAAAAAATTTCTTCAGGAAATTTTCAAAGTAACAAAATATCTAAATTAAAATGTTGCAGGCTTTATTAGGAACACAGATTTTTAAATAAACCTGATTTATGATTTCATGTGTGCTAGGAGCAGAGAATTCTTTCTTTCAGCTTTTCTGAGCTCCTTTGCCTTAAGAACTTCTACTAGATAATCTGCATACTCAAGACTGTTGAGAAGTTCCAGATGTCTTGTATTCTGCAATCATGGAAATAAATTCAGTTCCTCATTGGCCCCAGAAGTGGTGGAAGCATTAAGGGATTTTTATTTACCTGATTGATCGTCTTTGACTATGAAAATGTTGTGTTTGATGAGTCTTCTTGTGATATGTTGTGTTATGAGCTCAGTCATATATCTGTAGTCAGAATAATTATATGTAAACACTATAAATACTAGAAATAAAATTGAAGAGCAAGAAAATGTTTTGAATTAGTATATTTGTTTCATATAAGGAAAATTTCATACTCCTACATGTGATTTCTTTCCCCATTCTAGGAAAAACCTGACATGTCTAAATTTCTTGTTGAAGATATTAGAAATTTTAGTATCATTGCACATGTGGATCATGGCAAAAGTACACTAGCTGACAGGCTTCTAGAACTAACAGGTATTTTCATTTTATATCATATGTTTAATCGACTGCAGTGAGTTATTGGGAATCCACTTTTACCATGTTAAATTTTATTTTTAATTTTGTGTGTAGTATTTTCTTTTTTAAAGTCCAGAGAAATACCAATTAAATGTTTCTGTTTGTAGGAACAATTGATAAAACAAAGAATAATAAGCAAGTTCTTGATAAATTGCAAGTGGAACGAGAAAGAGGAATCACTGTTAAAGCACAGACAGCATCTCTCTTTTACAGTTTTCAAGGAAAGCAGTACCTTTTAAATCTCATTGATACACCAGTAAGTATATTAATAACTTTGCATGTATTATGAAAAACCTTTTATTAATAACACAAACATTGTTTTAATTTTTTTTGAACTGAATTTTAAATATCTTTTTTTCCTCAATGTTTTTGTTTTAGTGTAACCTCTTTCAAAAGTACAATTAGATAAAGAAAAAAAAGTAAATCTATGTTTAACAACTTTTTATCAGTGTCAGTAGATTTGCCATAATGCCCCTTCCTGGAATAACTGTAGCTAACATTTAAAGGTATGAATATTTTTGTTTTTTAGGGCCATGTTGATTTTAGTTATGAAGTATCCAGGTCACTTTCTGCTTGCCAGGGTGTTTTACTGGTCGTTGATGCAAATGAGGTAGGATTTTTCATTTTATATAATGATATGTCTATTTGGTTGTTTCAAGATGTTTTCCTTAAAATGTATTATGGAAACAGAATTTTTCTGTTTGAAGAAAGAAATAGATTGTGTTTTTCAAAATCATATGCTTTGATGCTGTTAACTTGAAGTTTTATTACATTAAGGAAGGCATTCTGTGGGATTGAATAATTTGTTAAGTTTTTAAAGCTGATTGAAGTATTCAAAAGATTGTATTTTTTGTTGCAGCATGAAGGTTGTCCTATTATCAGTGCATCCTATGAAAACCTCCTCCACCAACTTTAGCAGTCCATGTCAGTTTTTAGTAGAGTTTAAAAATCTTTAGTTTTTAGGTGACTTTTAAGGCAATAATTTAGAAAGTGTTAGAATGTCTTAGGGTTAAGGCAATAGTTTAGAATGTTGCCAATTTTTTTTTTTTTTTTTTTTTTTTTGTGGTATAAAATTTGTGAAATACCTATATAAGAAATATACTAAAGTTTAAGCCTTTCATGTATCTCAGTTTTTCACAAAATCTGAATTAAAAATTCAGGTTTTATTGTTGTTGTATTGTGTGTCTTGATTCTGCCAAGAACAGTAAATCTCCACCTTACTTACATAGTACTAGGCTTTATAAACTGCATCACATAATTGTATTCTGTAGTAGGTTTTGAAGTCCTTGAGGATCCATTTTTCATCTTTGTGTCTCTAATACCTGGCACAATTCTTGGCACATGAAGGACCTCCAATTAATGTTTCTTGAACTGAAAGAAATTATCACAGGGAATGAGCCAGGTGTATGGAAGTGTGGGTTATCAAATTTGCTGTGTAAAAATCTCTGCTTGAGGCTCCCTGTGTTAATCTTTGTAGAATGTCTATTTTGTTTAAACTATTCCCTTACCATGAGTGATCTTTATTTTAACCCCAAACACATAAGCTAGAGAGCAAAGTAGGAAGGGCAGTATTAGTCAGCTACTTGTCATTATATTGAAATGCCTGAGATAATTAGCTTATATAGAGGTTTATTTTGGCTGTTTTGGAGTCTCCCGTCCGTCACTAATTGACCCATTACTTTGAGCCACTGACAGTGCAGCATATCATGGTAATGGTATGTTGCAAAGCAAAACTACCCACCTTGTCAGCCTGGAAGCAAAAAGAGGAGGAAGGGGTTACTATCCTACAGTTATCTTAAAGGGCATGTGCCAATGACCTAAGGGTCTCCTGTAGGCCCCACCTCCTAATAATGCAACCCTAGAGATAATACCTTTAATACATGGGCTTTTGGGGAATTCAGGGCCCAAACTATAGCAGGCAGATATTTGGCATTTTGTTTATTATTTGGGTGATGGAAAATCTGTTTTGATGAGGATGATGGTTTGAATACCATATGGTTTTGAATATAAATTTTGTGATGGTAGAATGGTCATCTCAGACTCTCATGTCTATATTTCCAGGGTATTCAAGCCCAAACTGTAGCAAATTTCTTTCTTGCCTTTGAAGCACAGTTAACAGTAATTCCAGTTATAAACAAGGTAATTATAATACAACAAAGCTATTTATTATTTTACTTTTGAAAAGTTTATTTACTGTTTAAATGTCAGGTGCAGGATTTTATATGAGGGCTATCTAGCCACTTATTCCATGTATTGGTGGGATTGACCTCTTTGAGTTGCATGGGATAGAATTACAAGTCAAAGTCCTAGGCCTTTGCACAAAGCTGAGAATGGAGTTCCTCTAAATTGCATGTAGTGTGAGAAGGCCATTTCTGTAGAAATGGTATGCAAGCAGACAAAAATATACAGACTGCACATAGGAAAAGAAAAGAGGCTTATGATTATGAGAAAACAGTATAGCCCATGAAACAGTTCAGTGATAAACTGAGCTGTCTATATAAATCACAGTTTCATATTTCATTGCATTGTATTCCTTGATATTAGAGTTTAATAGAAGTAAGTCTGCCTATAGATAAGACAGCTTTTTATCACACTTTATATTTAACTTTGAAAATCCATTCACATGGTGCTAATTGATGTGATTACTGAACTCTTCTGCACTGAACTATTTCTTTGCACGTTGTGCTGCCTGACTTGTATATTTTGTAGTCATACTTGTTAAAATTATATTATCTACATGTAAATTATTTAAATGTTTTGAAATAAAAACAGAGAGGTTAGTTAGGTTATAGCAGTAAGCCTTTAGCTATCTCCAAATACTGTTAATATATATTTTGTTTTTATTATGCTAATGTGGTGGATTTTATTTTTAAGATAGATCTGAAGAATGCTGATCCTGAGATGGTTGAAAAACAAATTGAAAAAGTATTTGATATTCCAAGTGATGAATGTATTAAGGTAAAAT